AAAACCAGCACGAAGTTTTACCTGACTGTAATTACTTACATATTTCCCACTTTTAATGCATTATTAATATTTAGCATTAGTTCTCTCTATTCTTACCCTCAGTTCTGACAACATTTTGAAATAAGGCTTTTCAATTACTATTTTATGTCAATGGTTCACAAAAGAAAGGACTCCACCATCCACAGCAACTGCTCAGAAATGAATGTCAGGCATTCTTCCCACCCACTCTCAAGGTGATCATTGAATGAGGAGAGCGTATGTGTTCTCATTTTATTTTTTCACTCAAATTCCATGTCTCTGGGAGGAAAGTGATTTTGATCATGTGGCTGAATGAGCAGAGAATGGAATTTATAAGACTCTTGGGGAAGTGACTGAAATATAAAAGATAGTATACGAGTGCTTTACAGCAAAACTCCTAGGAGCTTAAATTCTCTAAATGAATTACAAATGCTCTCTTATAGAGAAGAACTTAAAATTGAAAAAGAAAAAACTTAGAGGAAATGTTACTGATAACAATGACATCACCGATTTTCTTAATTTAAGCCACAAATTATATTAATGATGATAATATGTAATAGACAATATCACTGTAAAGATTTCATGAAAAATATACATGAAAATATTTAGTAAACTGTAACACTACTGTAACAGATGCTAAGTAAGGCTTTTGCTCTTCCCCAGAATTTGTCACTAGGACCTACAGCTGAGAAGAAAAAAGAAAGTACACTTTGGAGTCTCCTCAACTCAGCCAATAGACCACACTGACTTAACAGATGTCAACAAAAGACATTTCAAGAAAATGATAGACAAATATGTTTACAGTGCCATTTTACCATATACCAAAGTAAGCTAAGGCTTAGATGGAATAAAAAGACTAGGAGTCATTGAGGTTGGGGGGCTTATTAAAAACATGGTATTAAGGGGGCTCCTGGGTGGCTCAGTTGGTTAAGCGTTCACCTTCAGCTCAGGTCATGATCCCGGGGCTCCTAGGATCGAGTCACACATCCTTGGGCTCCTTGCTCAGTGGGGAGCCTGCTTCTCCCTCTCCCTCTGCCTGATGCTCCTCCCTGCTCTCTCTTTCTCTGTGTCAAATCAATCAATCAATTAATCTTTAAAAAAAACAAAACAAAAACATGACATTAAGAAAAGAGCTTTTTCTCTCTCTGACACATGGGAAGAAGTGAAAGTTGTCCCCTTTTCAAGGGACAAGCTGAGCATTCTAAATGTCACAGGTAAAAATCTAGTTTGTGTACATAGAGGACAATGAAACCCTGTTCCACCATTAGAATTCTATTGAGCCCTTGAACCTCTAAGCCAAGCCTTGGCACTACTGACACTTTGAACTTGATAATTTTTGTTGTAGGGGGTTCTCCTGTGTACTGCAGAATGCATTAGCAGCTACTCAGGCATCTACCCCCTAGATACCAGCAGAACCACCTCTCCCCTAATCTTAACAATCAAATATTCCTCTGAATGTTGCCAAATGTCCCATAGAAGGAAAAATCATGCCAGTTTGAGAAAACTGCTCTTTTTTCCACTATAGTTCTGTCAGTGTAGCACAGTGCAAAATGTGAGAGAGATTTGGAGGACATAAATAAACATAGATAAGTTGTCTGCATTTTGCCCATGAGAGTAACCTGCAGCAGAAAGATTAAACTGTTCTCCAAGAAAATCACAAATACATCAATACCATTACTGAGAGAAAACAACTGGCTCCTACATTTATCCCAGCCTTGGAGTTGATAAGAAAGGGAGGTATGTTCAGACAAGCTGCTGGTACCCTAAGTCTAACAAACAAAAGCCTACCCGGTTTAGGGGAAGAAGATATATTAGAAATAAGGTACAAAAATTTTATTATGCCACTATAATCTTTATGCCAAAACCAGAAAAGAATACAACACAATAGAAGTAAAAGCCAGTATCATTCATGGATATAGATATAAAAAATTCTTAATAAAAAGTTAGCAAATAGGGGTGCCTGGGTGGCTCATTTGATAAGTGTCTACCTCTGTATGGGGATTAACATAAGAATAATAAAAAAAAAAGTACCTGATAAGTGTCTACCTTCAGCTCAAGGCATGATTTGGGGCTCCTGGGATCCAGCCCTGTGTGGGGCTCCCTATTCAGCAGGGAGTCTGCTTCTCCTTCTTCCTCTACCCTTCTCTCCTCTTGTGCTCTCTCTCTCTCAAATAAATCAAAAAAATCTTTTAAAAGTTAGCAAATAATACCCAACAATATATAAAAGAATGATACAGCATAGTCAAGTCGGAATGCAAATTATTTGAACATGCAAAAAACAATGTAATTCACTACATTAAGTTAGAGATGTTAGAAAAGCATTTCTATAGATGCAGAAAAAGTATTTGGCAAAATACAATACTCATTTTTTAAAGATTTATTTATTTACTTACTTGAAAGAGAGAGAGTGAGCACAAGCAGGGGAAGTGGCAGAGGGAGAGGGAAAAACAGACTCCCTATTGAGCAGGAAGCCCTATTCTGGGCTCAATTCTGGGACCCTGAGATCATGGCCTGAGTTGAAGGCAGCCGCTTAACTGACTGAGCCACCCAGGCACCCCCAAAACTCATTTTTTAAAAACATTCAACACACTAGGAATAGGAGGAATTTCCTCAATCTGATCAAAAACAGATATGGAAAACCTATACTACACATACTGGTGAAATCCTGCATGCTTTGATTTTAAGACAGAGACCAATACAAAAGTGTACAATCTCACATTTCTATCCAGCATTGTAATGGAGGTCTGACAGAACAGTAAGGAAAAAAAAAGTAAAACAAGACTAAAGAGTAGCAAAACTCTTGATTTTCAGATAAATCCTTAAAATCTACAAAAATCTTCTAGAACTGAGAAATGAAACTTAGCAATATGTAATCAATATACAGAAGTCAATTTCATTTCTATATACTAGTAAATAATTAGAAAATAAAGTAAAAATATTATTGTTAATGCTATCAAAAAACTATAAAACTTATCCATAAGTCTAACAAAATATGTGCATGCTCTTCATATTAAAAACTATAACAGAGAGGGGTGCCTGGGTGGCTCAGTCGTTGAGCGTCTGCCTTCGGCTCAGGTCATGATCCCAGGGTCCTGGGATTGAGTCCCACATCAGGCTCCCCGCTCAGTGGGAAGCCTGCTTCTCCCTCTCCCACTCCCCCTGCTTGTGTTCCCTCTCTCGCTGTGTCTCTCTGTCAAATAAATAAAAATCTTAAAAGAAAAAAAAAAACTGTAACAGAGAGCAAGAGAAACAAATCAAGAAACAGACTGAATCAGAAAGAACAAACTGAGGGTTACCAGATGGGAGGGGGATGTGTTAAAAAGGTGAGGGGGGTTAAGGAGTGCACTTGTCATGATGAGCACTGGCTGATGTATGGAATTGTTGAATCACTCTATTGTACATCTGAAACTAATATAACCGTATGTTAATTAAATGGAATTAAAATAGAAACTTTAAAATTTTTAAAAGATAAAAAATAAATAAAACTGTTGCTAAAATCATAAAAAAGTCACTTGTAATAAAGAATCCATAAAAAACAAAACTATAAAGGCAAAGGAACAAAAATAGCCAAAATAAAAATTAAAAGAAACACAAATTTAAAGGGTTTGCCCTACTCGACTTCAAGTCTTACTAAAATGTATGCTAATCAGGATAGTGTGATATCAGTAAAAAGATAAACATATAAAGCAATTATACAAAATAGAGAGTCCAGCCATTCAATATGATTAAATAACTTTCAACGATAAAGTCGAAACAACTGAATATGGTAAAATATTTCCAACTAAAGGTAGATATCTATGAGAAAGAAAAAGAACCCCAGCCCCTACCTCACACCAAAGACAAAAATCAATTGTATTAAATAATAATCCTAAATGTAAAATCTAAAACAGTAAAGCTACTAGAGGAAAACACAGAGGAATGTCTTTAAGACCCTGGGATAAATGAAGATTTCTTAGACAAAATATAGATTATATGAAACATAACAGAGAAAAATGAAAAAATGGTCTTCATAAAAATAGTGGAAAACATTTGCAACGTACATATTTGAAAAGGGATCTGTATTCAGAATATTAAAAAAAAAATTCTTGCTTTCAGGAATAAAACATTAAATAATGAAATAAAAGAAGACTTAATCAGACACTTCCCAAAAGATATGGAAATGACCAATAAGCACATGAACAAGTATTTATCATAAATTATAGTAGAGGAAATGCAAATTAAAATCACCATGAGATAGAGCTACACATCTACTAATACAGTTAAATGGAAAAGACTGAAAACACCAAATTTTGGAGATTAATTTATAGTTGTTAGGGGAGTGGAATTAACAGCCACTTTAGAAAACTATTTGCCATTTATTAGAAAGTTAAACATTTACCCCATGACTTAGTGATTCCAACCTAAGCATTTATCCAAGAAAAAAGAAAACTTACATCCACAGTCTTACAAAAAACGTTCATGTCAGTGTTCTTCATAATAACCAAAAATTGAAAACGACTCACATTCCTATCCTAGAAAAACAAATATTTATAAAACGAACTACTATAAACCAAGGAAAAAGAACTTCTGATACATGCAAAAAAATAAAATATTTTTAACATGAAAAATATTGTGGCAAGTGAAACAATGCAGACAGATGCAGAAAGGGCTGCAAAATTCCAAATATATAAAATTCTAGAATTGACAAAACATGGCCTATCTATTGGAGGCTTATCCCTCATTCTTAACTTGACCGTGGATCTTATCAAAGTCGTCCCTTCACACTCCAGTCAGGGCAACAGTGGCTTCCTTCCTAAAGTGATTGTGTTAAACACAGACGTGAGCCATGCAGAATCTGCATCAAGTAAAGGCTTCTTGCTCAGCCCTCAGCAAAGAGCAGGGAGGCTGAGCAACCAGCTTCCAGCCATTATTTCCTTTATGGCCTCCCTCAGCTGCACAGTATCTCTCCCCTGAGTTCACACCCTGGCCAGGGCAGCTTGCATATGGTGACTGAACAAGAAAGGTACGTGGAGGCCGGTACATTTCACCCAACATGGGATACTGATGGGTCAACATTCGCTCCAGCGCTCCCCACCAGGTTGCCTGGATGGCAGTTCACCTTCTCTCTCTAAAGCAATCCTCCTTCCTTCCCCTTTTTTGAATTGTGTTTCTCCCTAAAGAAAGATTTCACTCCTCAGGCTTTGCCTTGGTATCTGCTACTGAAGAATCTAAAATCTTTCTTGTGATTGCTAAACTGTTTAATTATGTAGTAATTCATTGCCCAGAAGTAGTGGGATAAATTATATACATTAAATAAAATAAGCAACATGGAGTCATATCAGTGTTCATATTTAACTATAAAAATCCTCAGAGCAGAATTTACTGTATGTTATTCTAGGGCTATGGGTAAATCATGCTACCTAAAACTACTTTTTCTGTGCAAGTGGCTGAAGCTGGAAAATCAAGACACAGTATGGATGTCTCATAGCAACACAATCACCAGGAGATAATATCTCTGTTATTTATGGATTTGAAAAAAATGTACTATAAAAACATATAGTGTAAGCTGACCCGCTATCAATCAGACCCTTTTGTCAAAAGCATTTCTGCCTAGATTGTCTAAAGAAATGTTGAAGCAAAAACCTGAAAGCATAGAAAGTGATTTGTGATCCCATGGTACAATAGTCATCCTTTCTTTGTGTCTGAATGAATGTATTTCTTGCCAAAACTTTGGTTTGTCATTCTGTAGATGCCTGAACACAACTAAATAGAGGCTGTTTCTGCACAAAATGGCACTGAGATTTCCCACACTATAACGAGTATTTTGTTTTTTCCAGAATTGAGTGGAGTTTGTACTTAATAAAAATTTTTAAATGTTGAGTATTAAGAAATGACCTTAACATTTGACTTCCATCTCAAGTGAGAAAAGGATTTTTTGTAATATATCGATACACATATTTATAGCTTATGTTTGTCTTTGACCAATAGATTTAAAATAGTGCTATCCATCAAGGCAGAGGATGTGAAGATACCAGTAATTATGTGTCCACATAAATATCTACAACTCAAGTTTAATTGTTTACAGTATATAATACTTAAATATGGCTACACATGCTTGGTACAGTAAAATAGTAATCTGGAAAATGTGCAGCTTCCTAGCCAGCAGAATATTGGGATTTGTGCTTTTTCTTTTTTATTTAGTTGAAACCTCTTAAAAGTTCTATGCTGTTGATAATAGTAAACCAAGAGGGAAAAGAAAAGAATCCTTAATTTTTGTTTGATCTTATCACCTAAGGTAATAGCTGAAAGAATTCATTTATTTACGATGGATTTCTAGAAATTACTAAATTATATGTAACCTGTGATTTCCATGTAACAACACATAGGTCTAAGTAAACACATTTAATATAATACTAGACTTTGTGGAATTGTAAATAAAATGCTTCCACATTCATTGCTCCTAAAAACAGGTTTTTATAACATTTAATATTTCATAGAATTTTTATACTACAGTAGTTCTTTCCATTATGATAACCTCCAGAACAACAGATGGTCCCATTATCTTTTGGTAAAAAAAAAAAACAGCGATGTTAATTAATGTTTTCTTCTATACCCACTGAAGTTTTTCAGTCTGATAATAAAAGGCCAATCTTTCATTGCATAAATAAAACTAAATAAAAATAGATTATCCACAGATTATCCACAGAATGAAGTCCACCATAAAGCAAAGTTCTGCGGGGGAAATCGGAGGGGTGGACGAACCATGAGAGACGATGGACTCTGAAAAACAAACTGAGGGTTCTAGAGGGGAGGGGGG